TTTTTTTTAAATTAGCTTACAAGTCCCACTGTCGCGCAAAAGCCTCTCCTCTCGACTTCCACAGTTCCCTGTTTGACGCAAAATCACGCCAGTCCTATACATATGCGTCCAAGTCGTATAAATATTGCTAAATGTAATTTTCAAAGCCCTGCTTGGCTTATTTTCACAAATTCTCAATATAGAGTTATTATTATTTTCATAATGGCGGCCAATATAAGGCTTGGGCCAGTGTCAGTTTTGATGCATGTTGTCACTGTCAGCTAATATTGATCAAGAACGCAAACGTTTAAGCATTATGGAAATAATAATATTTATTTTTAGAAATGATAGAGTTCAGTATCTTCAACTTTTGACAGGTGTCACTGTCAAATGTGGAAACATACGATTAAGAAAAATGTTTTATTTTCTAATACGATTTTTTCAAAATGGTATATTTTCCATAACCCAACACTTTACAGTATCCATACTAAGTGCGTTCTATATAAGAACTCGTTAGCACGCTGTAGCATCACGCATACTAACAAATGAGGTTCATCTCTAATGGCTAAAAATATACCAGACAAATATAACTGATGGGTCTGAGAAATTTCGTATACAAACGTTTTTAATGACGACCTCGATGACACAACGGCTTATTTGTCTCGGGTTCGATTTCCAGTAAGACCAATTTGGAAAATGATCTTTAGTATAGTTTCTGGTCTGGGTGTTCTGGGAAGTGCCCCTATTTTTCCCTAGTATGAAACAAGGGAAGGTGTGGTTGCATGGCACAATATTATTATTATTGTTTTCACACTTACTCCTCTTCTCCCGAGAGCAATTTGTAATAATCCCAGCGGCCAAAAAAAGCGACAGCTCGCTTCTTCAGTAATCTATCCACCAGTTCTGGCACTGTCATGTCCTTGTAGAACGCTTTCTCTATACTGGAACCGAATTCCCTGAAAGAAAAATTTTGTTAACATATTTTTATTGAATATGTTGGTGTAATGTTTTTTTTAATGCCACGATATTTGTGTATTTCTTTTGAAAATACTCCACCAGTTTGTTATTTTTTTCCTAATACATAGCCCCGCATTAGGAAAACACTGCATCGCGGGTCCCATGTACACACATTGACAGTGGCGGACTTGCAGTCTTGGCCGCCCTAGGCCCCAAGCCATGTAGTCAGTACCAGCCGCCCCTTTCTCAGCACTCATCATATACTAGTAGACTACACAATGAATTTACTTTATTGCCAATTTTTATCAAAATCGATTCAGAAATTTAGTTAACTATAATAGCTGCACTCTGTCTATTTATCTGTCTATATTGGTGGAAACCGCATGAAAATCCGTTCAGTAGTTTTTTTAATTTATCCCGATCAGACAGACAGACAGACGGGGTAAAGATAATATGTAGTGATGTAGTGATTACACACTACATTACAGATATCTCTATATTTTATACATAAAATGTACGAAAGTGATTTGAGTGTCCTGACACTAATATCACAACCACACACACATGGTAACACAGTGATCACACAATACACGTTCACACAGACTCTACACGTACTCGCAGTTTCTCCTTTTTTAGATTGAATTTTCATTTTTAAATTAAATTCTCTATTTTTCTTTCTACTTGGTCGAAGCCACTTTATTTTTGTTTAACTGTAAATTGTTGGCTTCACTGAAAATCAGCGTAACGAGATGTTTCCCTACGTCTCGTTACAAATAAGCTGAGTGGAGACCTTTTTGGTGCCATCTTAAATATAATACTGTTTTATTTTAAGTAAATGTTATAATAAGGTTATTTTAATTTTTGTTTTTACGTTCTATTTGTATTATGGTTACCAAATAAACTATTTTTCTTTCTTTCTTCTTTCTTTCTTATTTAGGAAGATCATCGTTATACGATGCGGTGCAGTGCAGCCCGCCATAATATGCGTGAACTTTTATAACATTTAGGAACTGAGTCAATTTTCGTCATCAGTGAATTTTTGTTACATTTAGCCGCTCCTAAAATCTGACCGCCCTACACCCGGGCTTACTGGGCCTTAGGGCAAATCCGCCACTGCACATAGACACTCACAAATTACACCCAAACTCACGAGAGAAATAAATGAAGACCATACAAATATTTCTCCCGGCCCGAGAGTCGAACCCGGGACCTCTGCATTTTGATATGACAATGATCGAATAAACACAAAAGTAAATTCTTTCGACCTGGTTGGACTTAAACCAGTGATTGTTGCCTCAACGTGGCTACCGCTCTGCTAGCTGAGCTAGAAATCGAGCCAGTGAATCTGTATTTGTTTTTTTTTTGTTGTAACGCCACCTATAAGGACTTATAAAAGTTACTTCCCTCAGAGTATTTTGTTAAAAATGTTAAGGCAATTTCGTTCTGAAAAATTATTACAGATGACAAATCTAATAATTACTAGACATAGAAATTTGTATTCGGGTACATTCGGAAACCCGAAAATTGCCGAGACATATTAAGATGGTATACTGTATAATATGGCAATCACATTGGTTTACGAATTGAAGGGAAAGACGAATTAATGCACTCACAAATCTCATGGCTGACAAAGCATTTGTGATTTTACAGGTTCGTCCTTAAAATCGCAAGCGACTTCCCATCAAATGAACCCTCTAACTGTATGCCACAACAATTCATCACGAATAGTCGCTATGGATCTGTATATATATTTCTCACCTTTTGTACAACAGGAAGTGCGTCATCAAGAGTACTACTCTCTCATGTATAAGTGGGTAAGTGGAAACAATGTTCTTACTCAGCTTCTCTATAGGTCTCCTTACTAATAGCTTTTCTAACCTGAAAAACATATCAATACACATCACAGTAGATCTAAACCCATTATCATTTTCAGTACTACCGTGATTACTATAACGATACTTCCAATGAACCCTGCGCCAAGCATATTTTTTGGTCATTTTCTGTTATTTTTGTAAACAGCCATATTTATTCACTAAGCTTAAACAATGCTTGATTGATCGAAAACTACTAAGCTATTTTGAAATTGGTATACTAAACGTCATTTCCATGAGTCCTTGTTGTTAGAATTTATAAAACCGGGAAAAACTGCTTTCTTCGGTAATAACAATATTTTTGTGTTCTGCCCCTTAAGAATAAAAATGCAAGGTGGCTCGATTTATGTGTCCGGGAGTATATTATGTCCCCCGAATTGTGTGAAAAAATAAAAAGAAACAAAAAATCGAATTCGAAAAGAGAAACAAAAGGCAAAATAAAGTCTAAAAATGAAGTTGGAAATTGTAAGTTCATTAGAGGTATCGACGATAACTATTAATATAAATTAATTGCGTGCTTTTGGGTCGAGTAGTGGGTTTTCGATGGCGTCACAAAACAGGTACCTACTCTGTGAAAAATCCCGCTAAATTATTAATATTTATAGATGTAAAACCATATGGTTTCTCATCAACCTGATATGTACTAAGGCCCTGACACACAATACTCAGGCTAACACTTCAGTGCTATTTCCACAGGTATGTAGTGCTAATTTTGTAACAACTTTGTCACTTGTAAAACATACAGGGTTATTTGTAATTTACTAACAATCTCGCAAGAAGAAGTTACTTATATCTGGTAATAAACAAATTAAAATTGCGTTTTTTTTTTTCAGCAAAAACATAGCACAATGGTACGACGAAAATTACGTAAGTGGACTTGCTGTGTACCAGCAAAGTACAGTCCAGAATTTTGGAGCTGCATGGTAAAATTATATGGCGGTACAATTTTATCTTGCATGGCGGTACAATTTTATCTAAGAATAATAATGTTGTCGAAACTAATTTTCAGCAATCTAAATTATATGGAAAACAGACAGTATAACAAACATGATTAGACCAAACAAACTTCTGTCCAAAGAATATGTGTATGTGTAATAATTATTCTAATAATTGGTTTTCGGAGAAACAATACTTCTGCTGTAAGACATTTCTGTGTTGCAAATTTATACCAAAACTGTCATCGCACTAATGAAAACAAGTCGAGAAAGTTTCGGAATAATGAAATTCGGAGAAAAGAAATTCGAGTTTGTGATAGGTTACCAGAATTTTTATAGGAATTCTATCAAATGCTTTTTCACAGTCTAAGTATATTATATCTGTTCTGTTGACGGCAATCAAGTTGTAGTTGACCATCTGGATAATATACAACCGTCTTGAGTTTACTTTTAGAGAATAATGAAGTGACGATACTTGCAACGTGTTCGCTGATGGGGTTAGAGTACCTTTTAAAAACAATTGCGATTTAACAATTACCCCATCAAAGAGTTTCAAGTAAATTTTGTTGTAGGTCACTAAATAGGTATTGCATTAACAATAACTACTTTGCTTTCTAAAATAAGACCAATATGAATTAGTGTCTAGAATTGTGGCACCAGTGTAGTCTGCTTTCAAGAAGTCCTTCCTTAATGTTGTTTGAGTAAAATGGTGTTGAAACAGCAGACAATGTCTATAACATTTCCACTACCACCAGTTGAAGTTGACAACATTTTGTCTCTCTAAGTTCAATTGTAAACCTATTAAGTTCTAGGACCAGCACCTACCCAACCATACGAAATTGGATCTGTAAATTTTTGAGGTTGTAAAGACAGTCAATCGTGTTATGATTATGATACAATCAACCTGGATACAACAAAGGCCATTGTAAATTTTACATAGTTGTGCAATTATAAACTATGACTGTATCTACTGTTTTAATTTTGGCTGGCAAAAAAAAGTCCTTGTGACAAAAAAAAAGAAAATTATGTTACATACCTTACAGACTCAATAGGAAATGGTACAGGAAAAGTTTTGCTCCGTTTAATGATTTCATCCACATTGTCTATAAAATTCACCTCATTTACTTCTTTCATACATTGATGGAGCATCTGAATTGTCTCTTTAGTCATAGTAGGGAAGCACCAGTCGGGTTTACACCTGTAATTTTTTCAAGTAATAATAAATTTAATACTAAATAATTCTCATGCAGCACACTTGGGTAAAATTTCATAGCAACCACAAATTATATTTTACAAAAGTAGTTGGCACTTATAGGCCTTCCTAGAAGCGGAGTTGAAAAGGTCAACAATGATGATGATGACTCCAGTTCAACTGCATTTTGTTTGATACTTTGGCTTTGAAGATGAAATTAAGGTTAGTTACGTAAGGGAAGTTAACTACAAACTTAAATCTCAAAGAGCTCAATACTTTATTACTTGCATAATAAAGTAGAGACTAACCTTCGCAAAATGTTTTGAAACATGTTAATTTAATATATCTATCAGTTTTTATAACATAGAAATACAAAGCACAAAAAATAATTTACACATATTTTTTATATTAACTTAATACAAAAAAGACAAGGAAAAACTTATACATAGTCAAAGTCAAAGTCAAACAATCATTTATTCCATAGGTAAAATTTTCAGACTTGAAAGTGTCATTTTTTAAGCTACTGCTCCTTCACCACGCTGACCAGAGAAGAACGAGCAAGAAACTCTGGGAATTGCTCTTTTCAAATAAACTCAAACACTATATACATTTTGAATCATATTTGTGTGGAATCTAGATTCACATTGTCTTTCTATACATCTTTATCTCACATGCAATATGCAATTTTGTAATATGACTTTTCAATTAAAATACTTTTGATATAAGTTTTAAACTTAGGAAATGGTAATATCAATATATGCTCCGGAATCTTATTGTAAAAACATATACAGTTCCCTATAAAAGACTTGTTTACCTTAGTTAAACAAAAACGTGGTAGCATGAGTTTGGACTTAGTGCTACATATATATAATGTAGTTTATTATATTGATAATTCATTCATTTTTTTCAAATGCGGTAGCACTCCTTGGACAGCATTAACTGCATTCGAGGCCCCGTCCCTCTAGGACTCTTCAGCGCTCACTAGGGGGTGGTAAGGACCACTTTGGGAAACTATGATATAGGTGAAGCTCTTTTACTATTCACAATACACTTTTATGCAAACTCTAGTTTTTGTTATTCTAAGACATGAGATATTTGCATTGAAAAGTGTCAATTGCAATAATATTTGAATATATTTAGAGTAATTTGTATCAAATAAACCACACAAAATTTATGTACAAAATAAACAATGAATAATGATGCTTACCAGGACAAATTTTGGAAATGCCGCAGAATATCCATGTTCTGAGACATCGTCTGCAAGAAATGCGCAATACGGAGGAGATTGCGGTAAACACTACGCTCCCACAAGCAAATTAAAGTAAAAAACGGTACAAATTATATTACAATTGGATGTAAATGTAGAAAAGGCACTTGTATGTATACTTATTGCGAGAAATGTAGTTACGATGATCTCATCCAGTGATAAAATCGGAATAATGAAGAAAATGGACTAGACAAAAATTCTAGCACAACAATTTAAACTAGATACTTGAAGTACCACTTACTGCAGGAATTGTAACTGTAATAACTCAATTCAAAAGTTGATAGGGAAACTGAATTATTAGTTCAAAATAATTTGTCCATTACGATTATGTACGAATCTACAAATTACAATACTGCATTTGACAGCTGACGAGATACGTTTCTTTTCACTTATGAATTGAATAACTACTTACGGAATGACATCTTACAACTATGCGTCAATAGAAGTACAGCTCGGCCAAAAGTTTATACCGGTTTGTATTTAGTTTGTGATACCGGTCATTACCATAGACAGGAAAAAGGAGTCATTACCTTAGACTATGGAAAGGATCATTAGCTACACACGAATTAAACAAATGTTGAGTTTTAATAAAATTAAATTTAACGTAATCTGTTAATGAAGAAACTTTTACCTATCGCTCAATTCAAAATGCGTAGAATTAAAAATTAAAACCAATTATTAATAAGTAATTATTATACTTTATTTAAAAATATTATACAGGTAATAATAAAAAAAGGCTATAACATCACAGCTGTTTGACTATAAAAATAGTAGCACAGTCATTTTTGGAAAACTTTATTTATTACCTATGATAACTTATTTGTTACCTAAATATTTAAAAAGTAGTAAGACGTAGTTTTTAAATTTATTACGTTGTCTTAAAAAATAGTGCTTTTTACGGCAAAGGCTGTAAAAATAAGTCGCTAACATTTAGTACTTAAAAATATATCAATTCTTTTTTGTGTATTCAAAAGCACATCTAGCTAGCTCTTTGGGTATTTAGACCGCTTTTATCGTAAGCGTTTTTTTCTTATTTTTTGGCACTAAGCCATTGGCTATATGTAATTTCAATTGGGTTGCATTTTTGATAATTCTTCCAAATAAATATTTTCTCTTATTGACACTTCAGGACAGTATAATATCATTGCTTTAGGATATCATCGTAGTCGCAGTTGTTTTTGTAGAACTTTGATGTGCGTTTTATAGAGTTGAATTTCAATCTTAAGTGTCAACCGTGACGTGCTCTTGAAAGTTATAACTAATTTAGTTTGTTCGCTATTATTTCATTTACATCATAAGGTGCTGCGAAAACATGTACCTTGTGTTAGATACAAGCAACCGGCAACAAGTAGCGAATATATTTTTATTATGCAATTAATATGAAATCGACACAGTCGCTGCTATTGCGACTATTGAGTCGCCTAAACTAAACTTTACATTCAAGTATCTGGAAACTGTAAGGCTATTTTTATTGTAATTTTTAAGTTTATTGAATGTCACGATGTTTACTACCACGATATTCAAATATTTTTTTGTAACAAAGAATAAGAAAAGATAATTCAAAATGGCTGAATCCGTGGCAGATGCTCTGCCCATTAAGCCACGGAACGAACCAGCAGACGTTACGAATTTTTCCATATGTTTGTGGCAGACCTTTATTTTTGGTTTTTAAAGACCTTTTTTATTGTTCGCATTATTTAACTTATAATTACTGCGAGTAATATCATTTACAATATTATTTTTAATTTATTTGTGTAGCGCAATAGTTTGAAATGGACGTAACTCCATTATGGCCTGCAATTTTAGTATTATTGCCGTTTACAGCGGGGTTGATATGAGCGTTGTGAAGCTCGGCCACTTGTGTAGATGATGCGGCAGCAGGATCACCGGAGCCGTCAAGACTGCCCAACCTGTACAAAAAAAAAGATGATGCTACATTCAGATCTTAACGTCTCCTCCGCAATGTCGCTGGGACACTTTTATAGTGTTTACTTTCATCGCTTCGTTTTTTTATTAAGTAATTTATAAATAAATCGTCGCAACGTAAAATAAACGAAACAAAAATAGTAATGAAAATAATACAACTGACAATCACCTTGTCTCAAACTAGAAAAGTCCCAGTACTGAGTCGTAGAGTAATGAATTTACCTCCAAATATACTGCACAGCACACACAGACCCGGGGGCCTAAAAGGGCCGGATTGACAGAATCATATGATTAATTGACATTCATATTATGAATTTTCAAACAAACAAAAAACGCAATTCATCTATTTGACTCTCCATAGAACACTCAAATAGATAAATTGCGTTATACGAATTGTATTATAGTGTATCGTAATATGAATTGTCAATTAATCATATTATTATTCTGCCAAAACGGTCTTTTTAGCCTTACAGGATGGATTTAGGAAAATTTCGTTACCGAAATTGCGTGGACTCTGATCTAGCGCGCAGAGTGCTAACGGTTGGGCCACTGTTGGAATAGTTTTAGTAGCAGAGCTCCTTGTGAAAGAGTTTGTCCAGGGTAGCTGCCACCTTACTTAATTCTGCCGCCAAGCAGTAATGTCAGCATTACTGTGTTCCGGTTTTGAAGGGTAAGGGTCAGCACCCTAGTGAAATTACAGGCACATAGGACTTATCAACTTATGTCTCAGGGTGACGAGCGCAGTGGAACACAGATCTTTATGATTTGAAGCTCTGAGTGGCACTGCAACTGCCATGTACAGGCGTGTAGCTTACCATCAGGCGCACAACTTGTTCGTCCCGTCGCTTGATATCATAAAAAAAAAGCAATAAAAACCACCAAGATTGACAAAAATGCGGGACTTACCAAAATTCATTACCGGGATGCGCATTACCGTCCCATGGGTAAGTCATAACAAGTAACTTTCCTTCATGCTCGCCCGTTAATTTTGACGAAGGTTCTCTTTTCGCCAGCTGCACGTTTATACCACCTGTGTTTTGTTGAGAACATTTCAAGTATTTACTAATAATGTATATAATTTCAAACATATTATTATTGAAGATAATGCATATTATTCTGAAACTGCTGACATGAAAAATGGTGATTTTAAAAATAGTCCCCATTCGTCTTTTTAACCGACTTCAAAAATGGAGGATTTCAATTCGACTGAGTGTTTTTTTGTATGATTGTTACGCGATAATGATTTGTGAACCTATTTTGATGATTCTTTTTTGTTGGAAAGAGGGTACCTCCGAAGTGGTCCCATTTAAGTTTCAAGAAAATATTTCACCTCTAGGGGTGGCAAACTAGGGGATAAATGACTTTTGAGGTCGGTTTTTTAGTACTCTGCACTATCATTCATTCACCATAAATATTCCTTCCAATATTAGGTTAATAATATTCAAAATACAAATGATTAATTTTTGAATGGTGAATTGTAACTTTAAGAAATTTAAGTTAAGCAGTTGTTGCCGTATATGACGTTATAAGGTAAAATTTGTACCTCTGGGATGTGTTTTCCATTGTAAGAACAACTTCTGCACGGTCACTGGTTCGTGTTCGTTACCCCTTTTATCCGTAAACAGAGCTACGAAATTAAGTAACAATTAATTTCTTAAAAAAAATCAATTAGTCGCCCTACGACTCGCCGCAGAGTTATTTTATTTTGACGGCGGATTAGCAGTACAGCTTCTTGTGAAAGAATTGGTCCAGGGTAGTACTGCCACGTTACCTATTTCTGCCGCCAAGCAGTAATGTCAGCATTACTATGTTCCGGTTTTGAAGGTTAAGGGTGCTGGTGAAATTACAGGCACTTGGGACTTGTCAACTTATGTCTCAGGGTGACGGGCGCAGTGGAAGTGCCCTTCAGATCTTTGCGATTTAAAGCTCTGAGTGGCACTGCATCTGTCATGGACAGGCGTGTAGCTTGCCATCAGGCGCACGATTTTGCTTTTCCCGTCACTTGATATTATAAAAAAAAGATATCCAGAAATCACGGTTGTTCTGTTTTAGTAAAAATGCCCTCGTGCCTGGCGAATAGTTAGTAAGGCTAGTACTTATGGTATTTACCCAAAATAAACTTGGAAGGCCTAATATAAGCGAAATTTACATCCGCCACGTGGTTGAGCAAGCCCTTTTCCAAAAACACCCGAGTGCGCTCCAAGAAAGTTAACACGAATACGTCTACCTGATGGGGCGATACCTTCCACACTCCGAGACCTGAGGATTATTAAATAAGTTGAATCTGCATATTAGATTAAAGGTACGTGAATAAATTGATCGTCTTATTACTTGAATCAGAAGAGAAACTGACAAACGATAGGTCAGTTATACTGCCCTCCTTATCATAACTGACGTAATCGATATTTTTAGCGAAATTGAGTTATAAACGTATCTGGAATCAGCGAAACTAGATCTACAAGCCCCTATAGGCGGTTTTTTAATATCTTATTTAGTTTCCGTTTTATTGTTAAGCAAAATGAAAGTAATTAGAATTTTTTTTAGGCGACAATAAAACTTTCAGTGCCAACATTTCGAAAATTACCGAAATACAAAAACGTTTCTTATGACAAGGAGGGCAGTACATGTCTTTCATCATATTTCCTCGTAAATAGTACAATGATTGCATAGTGATTAACTTGACTATAATATCCCAAATAAAACCCACAAGCCTTATTTCTTTCCATTATAGTCATGGTCGGTAAGGAGCTTTTTTTTTTAATTTGTAGCACGACATAGGTCCTTCCATAGGTCAGGTTCATGTTCAATAATTATATCGCACACACTCAACATAGCCCCGCACTAGAGAAACCCTGTGTCGCGGGTGCCATGGATACACATATAGACAACCACAAATTATACCAAAACTCACGAGAGAAATAAATGTAGGCCATACAAATATTTCTCCCGGCCCGGGAATCGAGGCTGGGACCTCTGCGTGGTAGACCGGCATGGCAGTCGTTCAGCAACGAAGGCAGTGAACATTTTTTATCTGTAGGTATAGGCATTGTTAATCTGTAGGTACTACAAGTGGTAGTTCAAGCAAGGATGTTATCTAAGTTCAAAGTAAAAACATTCGTTTAAAATGTTATTTAACCAGAAATTTAATTGCAATTCAGCCACATACTACTTCAATACTTATTATTAAGATTTTTCTTACAATTGATTTTAATTATTTTCTGTAAAAATATTTGAGTTGTATTATCTATGGAAGAATTTAAAAAAACTGCCATTAGCCACATCCATAATTGTTGTGTTGTCAACCATATTGATATTGTATTTATTTCCTCGGAAATAAAAAAATTAAAAACTATTTGTATCACGGAAAAAATACAAAACTCGAATTATTAAAGCCCTCAGCCTTTGGCTTCAGGCTTCTAATAGAACCTCGTTGGTAATTTCTTACCGTACCTTACTTCACAATGTACCATTAATTGTGTGATAAAAGGTTCTTACCAGCACCAATAACATTAACAAAAGCATCTTTTCCTGCTGTTTCAGCCCTAGCATTGGCTTCCAATAAAACGCACTCAGCTGTCACACTCAATCTTTTGTAATAAACTTCATTATCAAATACGCCAATACGATTTAAATTAACGTATCGGTCTTGATAACGTTGCTCTGGAGTTTGATTGTTGGGAATATTGACTGATGATTTTAAGTTGGTATAGGTTTGACTATGAACCTGAAAGAAAAAAAACGAAAGACTTTGATATATATATGATAAGTAATCTGAGCACGCCGAGTATATAACCAGAAATAGAGACGAAATAAGGGCCATCCATCCCTGGCAACTCATCAGGCAAATGGGTCTTATATAACTTATCTTATATATTTACAAAATATCAACTTTCGTTTGCGCTGAAATCACAAATTAGAAAGCTGAAATAGTACAGCGCCAACAACTGACCTGTGTATACGTACGTTTCCGTATATTCCAAAAATATTCTGTGGTTATTGCAATAAAGGTAATATCTCTAACAATTGGGGGGCTGTTCCATTCGGTGGTGTGGGAAAAACTGCAAAACATCTAATTACAAAACAAACGGAAGCACATTTCATCGGTAATTAAACTTGGTACTTGGTGTAACGGGCTGGTGTCCGCAACTCGACGTCAAAGCGCCTATTTTGCGTGTGAGTAATTAAATATTAAAAGTGTAATTTTTCAATTTTCGCCCATTATAGCAAACCTCATAAACTGGTCGATTTGAAGTGAAACAATTGACGACTGCCGTCAATTGTTTCGAATTCATAATTTGGCAGAATAGTTTTCAAACATATTAAATGACACTTCGTCTGTATTATTATCTGTATTATATGTTGAGTGTGTGCGTTATTATTATGTTATTATTATTATTTCTGGTTACATACTCGATGTCTGAGCATCATCAGTGACAGTTTAAGGATTTGGTTCTCAGTATAACCAACTTCAGAAAAGAATCAGATAATTTCATACTAATGCTCAGTTCGACTACCCTGACAAAAATCGAGGTCTTGGCAACCTAGCTTTAGTCAGAACTCTGATATAGGTAATTCAGTAGTTTAAGGACAAGTACGTAACAATAGTATTTATTTACATAAATACATTAACTTTTTGCAAAAAATTAATAACTACCTGATAAAACTCGGCCCACATTTGTCGCCACTTACTCCTTATGTCCTGGCTTTCGTCATATCCATTTTCAGCCGTGTTCTGTTTCTCAGTTATTAATATATCCTCGTATTCCATGCGGTCTTCGCGTTCAAATCTTGGTCCAACAATGCCTACAAATGACAGTTGCAATTATAATGACCCTTTATATTCAATAAAAATTTTAATGGCTTTCGGAACACTTCATTGTTATAAACAAAAACACACACCCACCAATGATAACAGCGTCGGTTTCCACATCTTCGTCACTGACTTGCCCCCCGTTATGCCTATTTCCATCATTAATGCATGCTGTATGCCCACTTACATACACCATCGAAGACAGTTTCATTTCATCGTAGCTCAGGCAGTTTTCTAGTTTTAGAGGATATGTTTCTGCTTCTGTACCGACAGCTTCCCAGCCGCCGTTGCTATGAATCATATTTTAAAACTACATGTATTAACCCCAAATGAGTTGTTTTACAACTCCATTCCCCATAAAATCCCCAATCAAGTTTGTAATTCCCCAGACATTTTATTAAATAGCCTAAATATCGCCGAGTCGCCGATAACTTTTTTTGTCGCCGCACGACCCCTCGAAGTAGCCCAAATGGCGAAAAATCGCCTAATCTGATACCACTAGTAAAAATATACATAATTTCAATAAGAAAGAAGATATTCATAATATTACCCTTAGAGCTAAGTCCAAACTCATGGTACCACGATTTCGTTTAACCAAGGTAAACGACCCTTTTATGGGGAACTGTATACGTTTTTACAATAAGATTTCGGAGCATATATTAAGGTTATCATTTCCTAAATTTAAAAACTACATTAAAAATATTTTGATTGAAAAGTCATATTATAAAATTGAATTCTACGTGTTAGATAAATATGTATGAAAGCATTAGCTTAAATGTGACGTTTTCAATGGAATAAATGATTATTTGACTTTGATAAGCCTCGATTACTATCGGAACCGATATCGGCATAACGCACACAAACAAAATGATAAACACTATGAAATCTTGGTAATGATTGGTCATCGTTTCTAATTTAAAAAGATGTAACAAATTCTGGAAAATTAATATAATTAAAACTTTACCCAGTCGCTATATCGTTGAAAGTTCAATATCTTTATTGCAAATTACGACGTTTTGAAATTTTATTCAACATTCTGCCATCTTGCGGCCAGTAGCTGAACTGCGACGAATGATTAACATCTGATCGAATAGATAAGAAGTATCAAGAAGGAAGAAAAGATTTATTTGGAAAAATTATCAAAAATTGGCAACTCTATCGAAATTGCATATGGCCAAAGACTGGACGCCATAGTGCCAAGAAATTAGAAAAAAATATTAGAAAATTGAAAATTTAATAAAATGACTTACCGATTGTTTGAAATACTACTACGGGTAAGGTTTTTGGTGCAGCTATCATTTTTGCACTCCAAAACAGCACAATAAGGCATTATTCTACAATTTTAGAGAATTTGCACGAAAGAATGACGCAACCATACCACACAAAGCAAAAATGGCGAACTCAGCTCAAATAGGTCTTTCGAGACCTATAGTTGGCACGCGTCAGACGCTAACTAACCACTTCTACAGTATTTATTGTTCTATGGCTACATTCTTCATTCAAGTCCTTCAGTAAGGTCATAGTATGACCACACTTTTAAATGTTTTTCCAACTTCAATTGGACCCTTACAACTAGCAATAAAATAAAAATTGCCACTATATTTATACTCATAGACGCAATGAGGTCGATTGTATAAGCTACAGCGTTAACCGATAAAGTACCGCAAAAAACGCTACACATAAAATCTATATAATAATTGTGAGCCGGAATGGCCATAAGAATAAAACTTGATTATCGTAGTGTTTAATTAAATGTCTTATATGTATATGTTGCATTTACCCATGCTGCCCAGAAAGTAGTAGATAATCATCACTTGAATTCATGAAAACGACCGCTCGCTTTTTTAGTATCCTGTCAACCAAATCGGCCACTGACATGTCTTTATACAACGCCTTTTCAATACTCGAGCCGTATTCTCTGAAAATATATATATTTCTAAATTAAAACAAAATCCGAACGTAGCCACGACAACACTATATAATAAAATAATAATAATAAAAAAATTCAAGGTTGTAGAAATTACTCAGCCCTTAATAATCTCGGTAAAGAGTACTAAAAAAACTGACTTCAAAAGTTTGTGGAATTACATCCATTTGCCTCATCTGTTACTGGAAAGTGCTCAAAATCGGATTCATCCCCTACTTTGCCACCCTCAGAGGTGGAATTTTTATTTTTTTAAGAATCATCAAAATCGGTTCACAAATGCCGGAGATATCGCAGAACATAACATACAAAAAGAACATACAATTAAATTAAAAACCTGATCTTTTTTGAAGTCAGTTAAAAATATTTTAAAACACGCGTTAAGCGCTGTAAAAACGACTGTAACCAATTTTCTAGCGCATTCTACACCCACTTATTGCCCTATAATTACATAATCCAGTGTCGCCAAAAGTCTCCCCGTTCGGAAGACATTTTTTACAAAACATTTATACAAAAACAATTTTAAAAAGACAGGGTAAAAATAATGAGTATGAGATTCTAGTTGAAATTTCAATGATAATGGGCATAGCTACAAAAACTGGGTTACGGCATGCTTAGGGATACCGAGACGGCCGCCTCTGGCTGGAATGCCTCAGCAAACTTGGAAATACTTCGACAGATTATGCGGGGCAAGAGGAGCTACGCACGATACGCATCGGCATGCCTAAGGATGCTTCGGTATGCTTCAAGACATCGCGTCTGACTAGGGATATTGCGGCATGTTTACGAACACAGCGGCTAATTGCTGTCATTATGCGCTGACATGTAGGGGTGCCGAAGTATTCCCTGCCGAGCCGACCCGTCAGTGGGCGTCGCGCTTCACAAGCTCTTTTTTGGGCATTGTTTGATTAAAACGAGTATTCTTCAGAATTTTGTTGTCAGGAATAGAAATATTTATAATTGGTTACATATCGTAGTATGCTTCGATTCGGGAGTTTTTTTTTTACAAAAATGATTATGAAAAGAATAGGCAGTACAACTCACCTCTTGTAAACAAGGAAATGTGCCATCAGCAGTAAAACTCTCTCATGTATAATAGGGTAGGTAGACACTATATTCATCTTTAACTTATCTATTGCAATTGTTTCTTTGAGCTGTTTTAATCTACAAATATAAATATGTTATAAAAAAGCAAAAGAATCAGAGATAATTAAAGTGAATCCCTGAATAAAATATTTGTTTAAAAAAATAGAGTTTAACTGATTGTCACTATTTACGGGTTTGTTTTCCACAGTTTAACTTGATAATCGTTTAATATATTTTTATATATATATCTATGAAGGGAGTAAGTCACCTGACAGATTCGATTGGGAACTTCACGGGAAATTCACTACTTCTCCTGATGATTAGATCAACATCATCCGATAATTCTTCATTCGGAACTTCTTTGCATTGAAGAAGGAGATCCCTGGTCTCCTTGGTCATGTTTAAGAGAGGCCAGTTTGGTTTATACCTGGGAATTATAAACACCTATTAATATTAGAACCCGAAAATTAGTTTGATGATTAGAGTGATTGAAAACAAAAAATACACAAAATAAAATTAAAAAAATCTCTGTATCTAAATCTAAATTAATTTTACAATTTTGATTTTATTAAAATATAAAAATAAGAAGCAACAATTTCCGATTTCTCTTCGTTGAGTAGGTACAATATATTATATATATTACATATTACTATAATATGTATATTACATTATAATAATAACATATAATAATAACGCACACATTCAACATAGCCTTCAACTCAATTCAACTCTAGGGAAACATTGTGTCGCAGGTGCCATGGACACACACATAGACAACCACGAATTACACCCAAACTCACGAGATAAATAAATGTAGCCATACAAATATTTCTCTCGGCCTGGGAATCGAACCTGGGACCTCTGCGTGGCAATCCGGCATGGTGATCGTCCGTTCGGCCACGGAGGCGGTGAACATTTTTAATCTGTAGGTATAGGCATTGTTAATCTGTAGGTACTTACCAAGAGACATGTTGGGACTCGAAAAGAAACATGTTTTGCGATATTGCCTGTAAAAAATTTTACTTTTTTAATTAATTTGTAGTCGATTAAATTAAAAACCAAAATAAAAAACGCAAACAAAATTTTTTACAAATATATTAGGTATAGATATATAGGTACTTATTATAATAACTATACCCTGTTTTTGGCTGTCCTTAAAAGTTTTCCTCATTCCATTCACCTTCGAATCACCTTTGAATCAATGAGGAAAATTGAGAATAAAGACCTGTCTGTACAGCTACAAATATACGCGTTATTCGCTACCGCTGTGGGTAGCAGAAAATACCTAGCAGCCATAAGATGTGTTAATCAAAAGTTTGTATCATTTTGAATAAGGAGGAAATTATGGAAAGACCTATTAGTGTTTCTTATATTGTGAAGAGTGTAAATTAAAAAAAACATTTACGTATTTATTTATTAGTATACCGCACACAGAAAACACTACACATTAAGTAAATAATTAAAATGAAACATTTCAGCCTCTACACTCAAGGACCATCACAGGTCGCAGAATGCATAACATTAAAGAATGACATGAAAAATGTAATAAAGGAAATATTTAATCTATGTAAATAAAAATAATTAATAAGTCTACATGTAATCAACACCAGTAATTAACACTATGCTAACCCGACTTTTGTCAATTTTGTTTTTTTAATGCCAAATTATTCAGCTAATCTAAACTAAATAAAAAAATAATATAAAAAGTAATATATTTTTATAATCAATGATGAATAACTTGTAGAAATAAATAGACATTTTAAGTACCTATAATATATGTTAGAAAATTAAAAAGTTATCGCAAGTTTCCCTTTCATAGGCTATGGTGAAAAGTTGCAATTTTTAAATTAACGTAGTTTTAATTGCTGGTATCGATACGGTATAATAGGTACCTAATTAAATAACTTAAATTACAAAATTTCAGAGAACTTACAAATTACATTCAAAGTAAGATTTAAAAATTTTATTTTATAATGTATCAGCCAAAATTCTTTAGTAACAGATTTGTAAAATAGAGATAGAGAAATAGAGTTGGATAGACAATGTACGGAGCTTCGACAACAGAGCAGAATTATAAAAAGACTAATTATAAAAAGTGTTAAATTTAGGTTTTTTTAAGACTGTAGCATATGATGTGACTATGTATTGTAATCTCATATATTAGTGGCCATTAAAATTAAAACACGTACCTACATGAAAATAGTGTGTTTTTATAATATGAGGGATAAAGAAGCAAAATTTACTTTTTTAAAACTATGAATGTCGTTTGTTTGTTTCGTCTATTGCTTCAAGGCGGTAATTTCAGTTAACTAACTAATTCGGAGAAAAAAATAAAAAATTACTAATTTGGAGACGTAGATTCTCCGAAAAACGGGGGTAAGGTGCAAACTTGACAATGTCTATGATTGGATCAGAAACAAAAACGATATTGTCCATTTCAACCAATCACAGCGCGATTTACTTCATAGATTCAATATGGCGGTTGTAAACTTTTTGTAAGATTACATTTGAAAGTTTTATTGTTATTAAAAATAAAATAAAAAGGTATTTATTTCTCCACAAAACGTAAGAAACACAATAGTTGAAAAACTATTAGGAAAAAAAAGTCATGTGGACAGAAAGGTTAAAGACAGCATTGCTGATTTTCAGTCTTCACCTGTAGCTTGCTAGTTGTTCGTTTGCTGCACCAAACCAATATGCGGAGTGCACACAAAGTAATAACCTTACCTTAAGTAATAACAAGTAATTAGTTAAAATTTAATGGCTGTCTTACATGGACATTTACATTTCCTTTTTTTTTCTATTTAATCATTTGAAAATGGAAGAAAATATGCAACCAGTTTGTTCAAGATGTTCTAGGTAACATAGTCGTGATCCAGAAACATGGAAGAGCACCCACAAAAAAGCAAAAATGTGAGTTTTGAACTAGACCACATTTTCAATACATTGTACAGTAAAAATAACTTTTGATGAATCTGGTAGTAAGTTTAAAATATTATAGTCAACTACATTTTTTTTACATAGAGAAAAGTTTGCTTTTTAAATGCAGTTTTTGTTTTGGACTACATGTTTACATATATGCACTGAAAAGACTGCTGCTCGTTTCCACCATGTCAACATAACAACATAATTTGATGGAAAATATAAATTAATATCTCAGTTCATATGTTAATTATGATACATACTTATACTTGGTATATAAAATAAACAAGCATGGTTCGATAGTTTTCTTTTGTTAAGATTTTCATTTTGGCTGATACAAATTTAGGTCTTTTACACTACTGTCAACTTTAAGAAAATTGCCATATTCCCTCGGTTGAGATGCAAAGACGATAACATCCACTCATTAGAAGCAAATTTGTTGGTGTCCATCATATTTTTTTTTATTAGAATATTACCATTTGTTTTTGGTTCACTTTTGTTTAATTTTGTAAATTGTAATACCATCCAACAGCCAGTAAATTTTTGTGACTAATAGATGGCAAGAAGATGTTGAAATGAAAAGATCTCGTATTCTCGATTTAGATTCTCTAGGACAGAGTCCACTTTGTTTCTATACCCCTCATATCTGTTATGGACATAAGCGGAATTACCAACACCATTTACTTGATTGCTCATGATTCTTTTTTTGAATATTATTAAATTTAGCCTTTTTTTAAGACTCAATGTATGACGTGGTTTTGTAATCTTAAATATTAGTGCATATTAAAATTAATAAAACAAATATTTACATGGCATTACCCACAAAAAATATGTAATTCGTAAAGAGCATTAAATTTACACTAAAGATTTAAATTGAACTTGCCGGCTGTGCTTACGATTAACAAGTACCAAAGGCCCAAAATGTCAAGCTTGGATATCTACTTTAGCTATAAATAATAAATTGTAATTGAAAAGTAATGAAAAGTTGTATAGGTACCTATTAACTAAATAAACTTACAGACACTTGGCGGTACAAAATGCAAACAACTGGAAATAGTTTGAATAATTGCATTTTATATAATAATTTTTTATGAAAATGTAGTTGTTCAAGTCACTTCACTTTTTATTTTTATGGCTCCATCAATATGAGAACTGATGATTTTGCCAATGTCACAGTTGAAAGAAAAAAAAACGAAACAAAAAAAAAAATTTTCGCTAAGCTCTAATAGGACATTAACCGGTGTTGGTAAGTTGGACTACGGGAGTACTCAGTTGAGAATGTAAAACAAAACAGCAAAACAATATTTATAAATATATGTTATTTAAGTGGATAAATTTACATAGAGTAACAAGTTGTTCAAGTCAAAATAACATTAACACAACTTCTCACTGTCCAGTGTCAGATGTCATTGTCATACGAGTATACTAGCACCTTTATTTTTTCCATCCCTAGCACAAACTACAAAGAGTTACTAAAGAAACAAGTTCAAATTCAAGTTTTGTGTGGATATGGCATATGATTCCGTCGTTTTATGTGTTTTAAGGGCAATGTGAATAATGAAGAATACCTAGGTAGTCATTCTTAATAATGTTCTTAAATAAAGCTTGTTTAGGCAATGCATATATCGTTCATTTTTTTTTAACAATTATACACATTTCCTAAGCATTGTATAGAATACCTAGGTATTGTATAGATTAGATTTGGCAAGGTATTATAAATGAAAGACAAAAAAATCAATTTAATCATTTCTGTTTACGTTTCCGAGCTGATTCGACCCCCTCCTGTGGGTTTAGGCTAGGTTAGTATAAAAAAAAGATGCCAGTCAGAACGAATTTGTTTGCGTTTCCGAGCTGGCGCTGGGTCGAACATAATTATGGATACTGTTTTTTGAACAAAAGCTAAATATTCAATGCTGTACTTTATACAAAGAAAAGTTAATGTTCCTAAAAGTTTAATGAGTGCTTGATTTCAAGTTGAGTTTAAATATTTACAGTAAGTCAAATAATTATTGGATTTACTATCAGATACCAGATAATCACTTAATATACATAACAGTTTTACTTAATGCATTAAACTTAAGTAGGTTTGATTTGTGTAGCGTGCATATTTAGTGTTATCAGTTTTCATTGCTACTATAATATAATATTTTGTTCGAAAAAAAATAGGTTTTTCTGAAACAAATATCATTTGTAATTTAATTACCAAGTGACCAATTCCTCTAATTACCAAGTTACTTTTACAAAATGAACTATTGTTACACAGACGTGCATAAAATGTTCCTCATAACACACAAGTACTTCTTATTACCACATTCCTTTATACACTACATTTAACAAGTTTTATATATTGCCTAATGCACGTTCGGCATTGTAGGTATTATAAAGAATACCGGATTTCACATATTTAAAGTACTCTGTGCAGTGCTGTCAGTGTCAATGTCGATATACGCTGTCTTATGGTGCTCCCACATTGCCGTTAGAAAATGTTTAATAACGTTAGTAAACATTTGTTAGCAAACATTTAATCACAAATAAATTTTCATGTTAGAAAATGTTTAGTAATGTTAGTAAACATTTTATAACAAAACAAATTATAACAAAATAATACATGTGTTATCTTTTGTTTGTAAACATTTTATAAGGGTGATGGCGGGATAGGCGGTGCGGTGCGGTGGGGGTTAGAGTACGCAGGTCGCTGCGCGTGGTGTCTCGCTTGTCAGTCCCTTTGTGTCAGCGTGCATCGCTGTGCGTGTGTATTAGTGGTTGCGCGTGCGCCAAGCAATAAAATATGTCCGGTAATTGGAATAACGATGATGTTTACAAACTGATTGAAATGTTTCAAGCAAGAGAAGTACTATGGAACACGATGTCAGAGAGCTACAAAGACCGAAATAAAAAACACGATGCTTGGATGGAAATTGCCAGTGAATTTAATATGGATAAAAAAGTAATTGAAAAAAAGATTCGATCACTCGTAGGTCAATTTAACCGAGAATGTAAATCTAATAAATCTGGTGCAGGAGCTAATGAGTCAAGTAAATGGTTTGCATTTAAAAAACTCATGTTCCTTAAAGGCAAAAATATTCCAAGTTTAACTGTCGATGGAGGGTTGCAGGTGAGTTTTATTTTAACGTCTTTTAATAATATTTAGATGCCCAGTCCAAAAACCCTTCATTTGAAAAATATTCTGCGAATTCTTTTCTTATTTCTTTCCCATCATCTGTCAGGGATTCACATGCTTCAAGTGGTGTTAATTGCTGCTGTTCTAATCTCCATTGTCCATCGATACGTGTACCAGTTACTATGTCATCTCCATCATAGTATTGAGATGGAGCGTAAATCATGCTCGATTCAGTTTTTCTTATAAAATTATGCAGTAGCACGCATGTCATAATTAAAGTAGCAGTTTTTTCTGGATCTAATAATATTGTAGTTCGTAAAACTCTAAATCTGGCTGACAAAATCCCAAATGCGTTCTCTACTGTTCTCCTCGCACGACTCAGTCTATAACTGAAGATTCTTTCCTTAGAATTGCTATCCTGTGGTCCTGGAAAAGGTTTTAATAAGTGTTTTTCTAAAGGGAACGCATCATCTGTTACGAACACATAAGGAACAGGTTTGTTTCTGCCTGGTAGTGAGCTGTCACTGGGTATTTTCAAACTATTGTCGTTAATTTTATTTCGAAATTTTGTGTTTGCGAAAACTCCGCCATCACTTATGCGTCCTTGGCAGCCAATATTCACGTACAGAAAGTTGTATTCTGCGTCCACTATCGCTAAAAGTACAACGCTGTAAAATCCTTTATAGTTGTAATATTCACTACCGCTATCAATTGGCTTTTGTATGGCTACGTGCTTTCCATCGATACTTCCTAAGCAATTTGGGAAATTCCATTTTTCTTCAAATGAATTTGCCACGTGTAGCCACTCTTGAGGTGTTGTTGGTATCTGGAACAAAAATAGAAGATTAAGAAATAGGCGCGAAAAATAAATTTATAACTCGTTATTCTAACAAATTTTATTGGATATTTTTATTAATTATGAAATATTAATAGATTAAAAAATATGATTTCAGTTAAGGGTTGTTAAGTAATAGAAAAAGAAAATCGCGGTTATAGATTTTTTTACAATTTAGCTAATTTGACGCGCCTATAACTTGAAATTATCGTTTAATTCTATTCTTTCAGGGTAACGAAGAAAACAGAATTGCTTCAGAAAACACTCTCAGTTTGAACGAAACAGGAAATACTGTCACTGTAAATGAAACTACGGGCACGCCTTTCGCCACCCCAAAACCATTTCGGAAAAGAAGACGGCCTGAAGTAGAACAAGATCCAACACAACAAGAAGCTGTAAATATTTTACAAAGAATGTACGAATCTAGAAAAAGCAGGGATGAAAATGACGCATTTGGAGAGTGTCTCGATGAAACTGAAACAATTAAAAAACAGTCATGCTAAGAATACTGCTCAACATCACATTAACAATATTTTGTACAATGCGACAATGGGACAATATGATTTTCCAACAACCTTTACAGACCCAACCGCTAGTAGTTCCTGGGGATACAACTCTGAACCAAATCTATCCACTTTTTCGGAAAATAATGCTGACTGTAGCTCGAGAGGATACCACACCGCACCGAGTCCCTCGGCTTCATTTGAAACCAGTTCTTCGGATAACTCCAGGACACATACTCGTACCAGCGCAAGAACACAGAGTCCGTCTAATTTATCGGAATCAAGCCAAGATTCGACCCAATCATTAAACGATTTGTTGGAATCAATCAAAAATTAAAAAATACATGTTTGGTTTGTTAATTATTAAAAAAATTATTAGTAAGGTAAGGTAGTATGATTAGATTAGATCATATTAAAAGTAAATAAAAAAATAATTAAAAATGTTGTTTGACTTACCTGTATGTATTCCTTTAAAACCTCATTGAGAGCCTCGCACACTTCTGGTACGATAATAGATATCACTTGGTCTGACAACTTGAACACATTTCCAAGACTTTTATAACTGCTACCAGTTGCCAAAAATCTTAACGTTACCGCAAGTCTTTCCGTCACACTTACAGATTTTCTAAATGTAGTGTCTCGTTTGCCTATTTTTGCCCCAATTAAATTTTGTAGATATTCAAATTCGGAACTGTTCATTCTTATAAAATCTTTTAAGCAACCGTCAATACCCAAATCCTTGAGATAGTCTGTGGCACTATATTTTCCTCTAGCTTTTAGCGTTTGGCGCATCCAATAAGAGCGCTTTTTCTTCTTTTTTAAACAAAAAATAAAAGCTATTCCAATGAGCAAATCTTCTTCCATTTTCGTGTAGACGTCCTCGGCCCTCAGAAGGCGAAACCAAACTGCGAGCCAATACTAGATGTTATAAAATGTTTAAACATTTTCCATCAATGTAGGAGCACTTATAACATGTAACAGTTTCTAACAAAGTGCAACAATTGTTAACATTTGTTAGTAAATGTTTTGGTGTTATAAAATGTTTACAAACATTTTATAACGGCAATGTGGGAGCACCATTAAATAACATTTCTCGGAAAAACCTTCCATTTTCTTATTAATTTATTTCATGTTGTTTTCCATTCAGCCGTTTATGAAGTGTATACATATAAATTAATAAATAATTAATATCATAATATTCATAATGGTCCCATCACATGAACGATTATAATAATTTTATTTGAATAACTATTTTTCTTTAAGCAAGAAGTGCCACCTCCGAGTGATTATATTTTTGTAGTTCATTAATAATTATTATCTGTAAATTAAAATATTGTGTTTTGTAGAATGACAAGGTTATTTTTTTTAATTTCATGGCCATGGATATAAGTACTTCAGTCGAAATATAAGAGACAACAAGCATAAAAAGAGATAAAACATGGGGCACACTGAAAGTTTTGCAGTTGTGGCTATACCTAAACAACTACAGTTGAATTTCGAATGGTATATTTTTATTGAGTTATTTAAAAAAAAGAGATGCGGGAAATAATTATACAATATTTTTATAAGAGACATTTAAATGTCAAAAGTTTCCTATCGGCCAGTTGTGAATCGCAATTATGCGCCTCGACTCTGAAGAAAGGCAGCTTCCGATCGGGAGAAACAATAAAAATCAAGCTGCAGGATGGCTGGTGGCGACGAATTCCAAAATTGTGCGACTAGATCCGACTAATTCACTACTATTTCTGGGTGCAATCAGATCTAAGCTAGGAGCTGTGGTTCTCAAGACTCAAACATGGTGCCGCCGCCGGAATAAGCTTATTCTAGCGTGGACAGTAAAACACCTTAATAACTTCAAAACGGCGTAATGACTAAATCCAGTTTTTTACGACTGGAACCGACTACATAGACTTTTTTAGATTAATCAGATCTAAGCTAGGTCTCGAGATTGAGAAATGGTGCCGCTGAAATAAGTTTATTCTAGCGTCAACACCCTTATAACTTTTGAACGGCGGACCGGCTAAATCTAGATTTTTTAGACTTTTCTTTCTGGCTAGTCATATTTCAAAAGCTCGACCACGGTCACGCTCGACTAAGGCACGCGTGTCCACTCAGCAGTGTGGAACTTCTCTACATGAATTCTTGTGTTCACATCCACAACCTCATAGGAAGTACGTGAAATTGTCTCGTTTAGGCGTGCCTTAATCGTTATATTGGCTTGACAGACACGGTGGTGCAGTGAAACGCTGTGGCGTTTTCGCGCGCCCTCTGGCCATTTTTTAAACATACGTTATAAATCCTTGTACTTTTTGAATTTGTTGTAAGCAATAACGGTTGTAACAGTTTTAGTCGTTTAACTAGCATTTTTGTTTAAAATTACTCCTCTTACTACAGTTACATTACAAAGATTGATAATTGTGTAATGAATACAATACAATACAAAAATTCTGTATTGTACAACAAAATGGAAACAAATACAATTAAATTAAAAAATTACATAGTACAATCTATTCCTTTTCTGTTTTCTTGGGTTTTCGGGGTTAGCGTCTAGTATTAAAACTGTGATATTTATTTAATTGGCTTGAAGTGTCAATGGTCCGCTTGTTTGAACTTGATGCGCGGGCGCAATTATACAATGTTTTTTGTGAAATGCTTTTTTTATTCTGTTGTAAATTTTTTAATGTTTCTTTTGTTATTCACAAATGTTTACATGTCTCAATTTGCTTGAAATACATTTTTTATCAACAATTCCATTGGATTTATGTTACATACATTACATCTAGATCTAGCAGTTCAACGCAGATCCTTACAAATCCTTATACATATAATTGTTTTATTATAAATAAAATGTAAAATTGTTCAGTATTTTATAAATTATACAGAAATATTATTTACAATATTGTTGTTTTAGTTGATTTGTGTAGTGAAATATTTTGAAATGGACATAACACCGTTGTGGGTTATAATTTTGGTATTATTGCCGTTTACAGCGGGGTTGATATGAGCGTTGTGAAGCTCGGCCACTTGTGTAGAATATGCGGCATCAGGACCACAGTATCCGTCAAGATTGCCCATCCTGCACAAAAAACAGACAATTACATAGCATGTTACATTCAAGGATATCTCCACACCAGTGTCTTTGGGGACTTTATTATCATCGTGTATGGTTTTCACTTTGGTCTTAATAATTTTTTGTCCGTTATATGTTTTTGTACAGGTGATCTGTTGTGTGCAACGTGAAATAGACGATAGAATTTCCAAGTTTATTTATTATTTATTTATAATTTTTATGAAAATTCACGGACAAATAATACAATTACGGTATACTTAAATGTGAGTAATCCAATGCCATTTACGAATTTCCACCAACATGAAACAATATAAAGTCAAAGAGAAATTTTAAGATAAAACAAAAAACACTTAAATTAAAAATAATACAAAAGTGATAGACAATTAAACAAACAAAACCAGTGTATTTATCACTTGAGGATGGAAAAAGAAGATTCATCACGTGGTGTGTCAAAATGACGTTTGGTAATTCCATTGAATGTCACGATGTTTTAGGTACTACTATGATATTTGATTATTTTTTTGTGAAATTGCTGTATTAGTTTGTTATAATTATTAATAACAAAGATGGAACACTTAGAAAAAGTTCCTTCTATCTGGCCGGATTCGAACCGACGTCTTCTAGCAAACCGTGCCCGACGCTACGCCAAGTAAGGTCGTAAGGTCCACTGGTTCGTTTCGTAGCTTAGTTGGCGTCGCGTCTGCCAAAATAAGAATAAAGAAGGCAATTAGTAATCATAAGAACGTCGTAACATTCACAATGCAGTTATTTTTAGCAAAATTTTATGTTTTATTATTTGTACATAATATTTAGAATTTTATGAAAACTGGCTACCCTCCATATGTCATTTTACTCCGTCTTCAAAAAGACAAACTATAGTGAATAACAACCACTCGGGATGTCGCCATCCTTCTTTACAATTAACAAAACAAAATTTTCATATATAATGAAATTTTCGTATATAATTATTCAACATAAGCGACTGTATCCCGTGTGCGCGATTGCATCGATGCAATCGCCTATAACTCGCAAGTGTAGCGAGGCAATCGCGCGTTCGGTTTGCATCGCTGCTAAAAGTCCGAGTTTGTAATCGCTCTAAACCGTTCACTCGGTGTTTAACATTATGAAAATATGTTCCTTTGTGAAATTTCCCATTATTTATTTTATTTATTTATTTATTTAAAGGAAGAAAACTAAATTAAGTAAATAATAATAACCGAGAGTCAATTAAAAATCCTCATAAATCATAATAAGGAATCTGGTTGCACGATTCACCTAACTTATTATGAAAAACTTAAAAAAAGAAAAACCACAAAAGTTGAAAGTCTCACAAAGGTATTCCAGAACTCTACTCAGCGCTTAAGTCAGGACTTGAGTATGATTTAAAGCACTAAAAATCATAGTCAGGTCATATTTCCAGTGCTTGAAACCATATTCAAGTCCAGACTTGAGCATTGAGTAGAGTTCTGGAATACGACCCTAAGAGTCAAAGAAGTGCTCAGTCAGTGCTCTCATTGCTGATATCACACTCGTATTGAAAAGGTCAAGATCAAAAGTATTACATAAAATACCATAGTTTGATTTATAAACGTATAGTTTTGTATACAAAGCCTTAAAATCTATATTCTTATCTAGCGCCGTGCTTACGGCTGGATCACAATCGACAAAGCTGCATACTTACCAAAATTCATTACCAGGGTGTGCATTACCGTCCCATGCGTAAGTCATCACAAGTAACTTCCCTTCATTTTTGCCCGTCAACTTTGACGATAACTTTATGTTCTCCAGCTGCACGTTTATACCACCTGTTGTGTTGAAAGTACGCATTAATTTTTATGATATCAAGTGATGGAACAAACAAGTCGTGCGCCTGGTCACAGATTACTTATTAGTTACCACATACAAAATCGAAAATACTTACGCTATATAGCGTACAAATCTGACTAACGACACCAGATGCTCACTACGAGGAAAAAGGAACCTAAGCACACGCTAAAGAGGTCAAAATATCGTTGCCCACCGTGTGCAGTCGTGCGGAACCGATTGCTGGGGTTCTGTAAGGATTGTAATGTAAATGAAAGACTTGTCTGAGAGCTTGCACTGTCGGCTCTTATCGCGTAACCTCGAGAGAGTGACGGAGCCCTGGTCTGGTAGTAAATGACAAGGCTGTCCATAGCAGTTGCCACGCAAGAGATTTAAATCGCCGCACAGCAACTACGCCCATCACTCTGGGACAAAAATTGACAAGTCCCAAGTGCCTGTCATTTCAAGCAACCTTACTCTTCAAAACCGGAACGCAGTAATGTGAGCATTACTGCTTACTTACTTAGGTAACGTGGCATTACTTCCCTGGACGAACTCTGTCACAAGGATCTCTACTGCTACTAGATAATGCATATGAATTCAAATATATTTCATTATTATGAATAGTAATAATGTAGTATGTACATAATCAATGCAAAATTAGTAAAAAGTAATGCAAAATGGATGTAAAGAATTTTAGTTTGATAAATGGCGACTGAAAACATTCCTAATGTTGTATTTTTGGGCACAAATATTAATTTCTATATCAGGTCTAACATAATTAATAGTGCAATAGCGAATTGTTGGTTTATATAGAATAACTAGCCCTTACCTCTGGGATGTCCTGTCCATTGTAAGAACAATTTCTTCACTGTCACTGGGTCGTCTTCGGTGCCACTTCTGTCCGTAAATAAAGCTGCAAAATAAATGATTAATAATTTTTAAGACAAGTATTTGGAAGATTTATATTTCGATACCTCTAATGAACACTATGCCAACTTTATTTTTTGGTAATTTTCTGTTATTTTTGTAAACAGCCATATTAATTTACTAATATTATGCTCCCCGAATTCTGTGAAAAAAGGAAACAAAAAACAAAATTCTAAAAAAAGCAAACGAATTTTGTGAATAAAACAAACAAATAATTACAACTTTTTCATTAAAAAAACCGACCTTAAAAGTTCGTGGAATTACGTTTGTTTGCCAAGTTTTAATGAAATCGGTTAACGGAAAGTGCGCGAAACTGTATCCCCTAAATTGCACCCTTACAGGTGGAATATTTTCTTCAAATTTAAATGGGACTATTACTGCGGTACCCTCTTTCCAACAAAAAATAATCATCTAAATCGGTTTTTGTTGCGAAATTGCGTAATATACACAGAAAAAAAATACAGTAGAATTGAGAACCGTCTCCTTTTTTCAAATGTGTTAAAAACTAAAATAAACACAGAACAGGTGGCCTACTATGAGCTTATAACCAGCCAGCCAAGTTCCATGCAATTCACTTGACGTGATAAAACTGAATTGCTTAAATTCGTATCATGACCTATACAAAGTTGATGATGAATTCGACTTTTTAAACGTTACATACTAAATCATATGAAAGAAATAGACAGATGTATTGTCCTGGGAGCGTTCAAGCACAATAGTGCTCGGTTAATAAACCGATTGTGTTGAAAAGGAGAACAATTACATTTTTTTATTAATTTTATTATTAATTATACTTACTACGTTGTCTTGTAAAATCGGCAACTTTTCAGTCATACTTTACAATTTGTCTTACGACAAAATTACATGTCATGCCTTGTCATTATCAAAAATGTATAACAATAGTTCATTACCAAACAAACAAGAGAACGGATAACACTAGTGCAATATTATAAAAAATAAAATAAAAATTCTTACCGACTCAGTTTTCGCAATAAAAAAAAAATTCGGCGACATAGATTTAATAACTGTAATAAATATGTCACGGGGAAGTTTATTTAAGGGTTTTATAACACATTGCATGCCATGCTATGGCCACTGGTCGTAACGTGTCCGAAATTTAAATGCACATTTATAATCTATGCTACAAGGGCGGAGTGCCACCTTTCTAAAGGAATGAAACTTACGTCATCATCGAAATGAGTTTTTGTGCTTTACATGTTTTGATACAATAATAACAAAACGGGCTTTGGGTGCCAAACGCCCTTGTCGCTCGCAATGCTTCAACTGTTGTTTACCCGAACTCGGCCTGCGTTAAAGACTCCACCAACTTTCTTTCTGTCAGAGTATGAAATTGGCCAAGCTATTATTATTTATTAGTTAATTTATATTTAATATTAACACCTCAAAATGCTACGTGACCGACGTTAATAATTTTTAAGAAAGGTACATTAATAATTTTTACCCATAACGAACTCGGAGGGCCTGATGTAAGCAAAATTAACGTCCGCCACGTGGTTAATCAAGCCTTTCTCCAGAAACACCCGAGTGCGCTCCAAGAAAGTTAACACGAATACGTCTGCCTGATGGTGAGATATCTTCCACACTCCGAGACCTGAGGATAATCAAAATAAGTTCAATTGCGCTGATTCAAATTCGTCAGTTTTTTTTAAATTAGAAAGGGTTTTTATAGATTTCTTTTTGGATTCACTATAAAGGTCACAGCTCATTAGAGCCACTCGGCACCCACTCCGCACCGCCTCGCCTCGTGCGGTTAGAATTCTTTATAAAGAATTGTATGGGTATGCGCTCACTACATCAACTCCGTAGCGTCTCCGGATCGCCTCAGTCGTAAACCCTCCATGCGCGGGCGGCGGGTGGACCACTCGGTAACAACTCGCTGCTAGCATGCTTGCCTTGCGCATTGCCAACGCGCGGGTCAAAAGCGGACCGCTTTGGCATTACGAAACACACGTGTAGACCTAGTGCCAGTTGTTAACAAACTACTCAAAAATTCGTGGACCGCGCGACATCCACTGGTTGACCGCGCGACGTTTTGGCGATAACGCGGCGTCCACCCGTGGATCACCTGTCGACAACGAGTGGACGCCGCGTGGTCAACGAGTGGACGCCTTACGACAAGTTGCGGCAACAGGCGATTATGTCAATTTCATAGTAAATTTGTTTCATGTTAAATGTATGAAAATAAAATATTCACTGCATCGAGTATATAACCAGAAATAGAGATGAAATAAGGGCCATCCATCCCTGGAAATCATTAGGCAAATGGGCCTTGTATCACTTTTAAATATCAACTCTCGTTTGCGTTGAAATTAGAAAGGTGAAACAATAGAGCGCCAACAACTGACCTGTATGTACGTCTCCGTATATATTATTCCAAAAATATTCTGTATAGGTATATTGTAATAAAGATAATAATCTCTAACAAGGGTTGTTGACTGTTCCATTCGATGGTGTGGGAAAAACAGCTAATCATCTAGTTACAAAACAAACGGAATCACATTTCATCGGTAATTAAATATGTAATTTTTCAATTTTCGTCCATTATAGCAAAGCTCAAGTTAAACTGGAAGTTTGAAAGTGAAACAAACGAAAAAAAAAGTGAATAACACCCGCCAATTGTTTCGAATTCGGGCTGGCCAATCGGAGCGCAGTTGTCACCGTAATGATTCGGCAAAATAGTTTTCAATCAAATTAAATGACATTTCGTCTCTATTTTTGGTTATATATTCGATGATTCGCTTCTAGTTGCCGGTTGCTTGTATCAAACACAAGACACACGTTTGCATGTTGCCTTACATTTCGTCGGCTAAATTTGAAAACCTCGTATCTCCGTTTTTGGACAAAACCCCTTTTAACTCTTCAAGCGCCATATCGAAAAATTAAAGCTCAAAATATAATTTCTAGACCCTTTTTTAGTTATGAAATAAAGGTATAATCATAGATTGCCACATAATTATTTCTAGTAATTCTGTTTTTGTATCTACTGAAGTCTAGACATGAATAAAGCTAGCGTGCCAGATGATATTCCAGCAATAATTCTGCGTAACTGTGCGCCAGAGTTGTCTCCTGTTCTTACGCTTGTATCGCCTCTCACTTGAGACTGGTGTAGTTCCCAGGTCGTGGAAGCATGCAAACGTGCAACCTGTGACCAAAAAATTAGCAGACCGGACTCTGTCAACTATCGCCCTATCTCGGTCACTTCCACACTTTGCAAGATTATGGAACGTGAGCTTAATAACCGTCTCTTGTCGTACCTTGAATACAACAATCTCCTCAGTGATAGCCAGTACGGTACGCACATATACTTTTTAAGTTAATACACTATTGTATTAACAATGATACATGTTCACGAGGTATTTTTTCGCATGACATGTCGCACGAGAAACCAAATACAATCGACTGTGAACTGGCACCCAGTATTATCTCAATTTTGACAACTTTACATTGACTTTACTGGTGAAGAAAAAAATTGTTTGCGACATTTATATACCATCTGGTTTATTAAAAATACGTAGTGTATGTGTAATAAAAATATTTAAAAACTACGTATTTTTATTTAATAAATCAGATGCTATATAAATCACGTCAACAATTTTTTTCTTCACCTGTAAAGTCAATGTAAAGTTGTCAAAATTGAAATAGTACCGGTTGTCAGTTCACAGTCGTCTGTCGTAAGTGAAAATGGTGGAATAGACAAGACACGATTTGAAAATTGAAAAAATTACTGAGTGGAATAAAAAAAAATTCTTGTTTATAAGTGGATATATAAATATTCTTCTTCTTATTTAAGAACTAGGTAGGCTCTTGTCGGTGGAGTAATCGCCAATCATCTGTTTAGCGCTTTGGCCTAGATTTTCTGATACGACACGACATAATTTTTTTTCTTTATCTCATCTAAATAAATTCGTCTCAGTCTTCCTCTGCCTCTCTTTCGATCTTCCCTTCTATTATGTTTCTAACAAAACTGTCATGACGCATCAGATGACCAAACATTTTCCCCTTTCGGTTCTCTATTGTCTTTAATAAGCTTTTCCTTTCATTCACTATTCTAAACACCTCTTTGTCTTTCTTTCTGTCCAACTGATTCCATTCATTCTTCTCCAGTTTTACATCTCAAATGCCTCCAGTCGTCTCTCTGTGTCATTGGTCACGTCTCATTGCCATACAATGCAATACTCCAAATGCACACTTTTATCAACCGTTTCCTGGCCTTTTTTGAATATTTTGCTTTTAATAGACTTTTTTATTGTCGAAAGCCTTTTCAGCCATTGCAATTCGTGAAACTATGTCTGAGGTACACCTGGCAACATTGGTTATCAAACTGCACAACTATCTAAAGGTAGCTATTTCATCCAATGGTTTTTTGTTTGGTTTTCAATTGTTTAATTTTATGATTGGTTTATCGGTATAGGGTTTTGGATTTTTACAACTGGTAAGTAATTTTGTTTTATTAGTATTCATCTTTAATCCAAGTTCTGTAAACACTACAGCCATCGATATTATCTCTTGCAACTGTTGAGCGTTTTCAGCTAAAGCAACTACGTCGTCTGCGAACCTAGTGATTTGCAATATTTCACCATTAAACTTGACACCCCCCTTCTCTGATTCTACTATCTTCCTGATTGCATGTTCTATAAATATATTAAATATAATGGGTGAGAATGGACAACCCTGTCTAACGCCTTGTCTAATCCTTGCTGATTGCTTTTCAGATAAGTATTATGCATAAATAAAAATAATCCAGTACTTTCTTCAAGTTTTCTCAATTCCACCATTTTTTAGTTACGGCAGATTTGATTTCACATGGGATGTGTCACAAAAATTCCTTACCGGCACCAATAACATTGACGAAAGCATCTTTTCCTGCAATTTCGGCTCTAGCTTCGGCTTCCAACAGGACGCATTCAGCTGTCACACTCAATCTTTTGTAATAAACTTCGTTATCAAATATGCAAGTGTCCGAAATAGTAACATATCTGTCTTGATAACGTTGCTCTTCAGATTGTTTGTTGGGGATATTAACTGATGACTTTAGACCGGTGTAAGTTGGACTATGAACCTGAAAAAAAGAACGAAAGTGACAAATATTCAAGGAACGCAACAACATTTTACTTTGAATGAAGGGCTGTCCTTATTCGGCACTTATGAGCAATTACAAATGTTCCTACTGAGTGGACAGACATCTACATTTAGATACAAAGAGTGACATGGAGTGGTTAAAACCACCAAGTGTTAATTGATTAAAACTGCCTCCAATGGCGAACGGTTACCATGCTGGTCTGCCACGCAGAGGCCTCAAGTTCGATTCCCGGGCTGGGAGAAATATTTGTATGGCCTACATTTGTTTCCCTCGTGAGTTTGGGTGTAATTTGTGGTTGACTGTGTGTGTCCATAGTGTACGCGTTATTTATTTATTAAAAAATATATATTTTTCAAATTCACAATCAAATTTAATGAATTTCGTAGATACATTATACATATAGAATTAATATTAGGTATTAATGTTTATATTATATGATACCAGCATTATTTAAAACAAGCTTTTGCTCCAACAAAAAAAATCATCAAAATCAGTTCACAAATTTTGGAGTAATCGCGTAATAAAAAAAAAAAGTGGAACTGAGAACCTCCTTCTTTTTTTCACGTCGGTTAAAACACAAACATGATAAAGAAATAAGCATGGCATTCATCGCCTTGTCTGCAAACAATGATACCTGATAGAACTCGGCCCACATCTGTCGCCAGTTACTCCTTGCGTCCTGGCTTTCGCCGAATCCATTTTCAGCCGTGTTCTGTTTCTCAGTTATTAGTATATCCTCGTATTCCATACGGTCTTGGCGTTCAAATCTAGGTCCAATTATGCCTGCAAATGACAGTTGCAATTATGATGACATCATATTCAATAATTTTTTTTAATAATAATAATACTTTCTCCACAAAATACAACAACAAAAAGTACATAAACAATCTTAGTAATTTGGGAACAGTATTTTGTAGGAGCTGGTGCTTGCTATAGGTGTAACACCCGTGCTACAAGTCACCAGGCCCCAACCGTTGCAAATGAAAAATATGTTACTAAGTATACATATACCAACCAAAAATTATATGAGAGACAAAAGATGAAAATATATATTAATATTAGGAACATGTCATTCTTTTAAATAAATATTCACTCACCAATGATAACAGCATCAGTTTCCACATCATTGCCACCAATTTTTTGCCTATTCTCCCTTTTTCCATCATTATGGCACTGAGTGTGTCCACTCACATACACCATCGAGGAAAGTTTCATTTCATCATAGCTCAAGCAGTGTTCTAGTCTGAGAGGAGACGTTTCTGCTTCTGTACCGACGGCTTCCCAGCCTCCTTCGCTGTGCGTGCATCATAATTTAAAAGTACATGTATTGCGTATATTTCAATAAAAAAGGGAATGGAAGGTTTAAAATATCTCAAGTACAATTATAATTTATTTATTGATAAGAGCAAAAAGCTGGCATTTATACACTCAAATTAGGCGAACCTGGATCTAAATGTATAATGCCTTCACAATCAATATTCTTGATTTACATTCAAACAATATGGGATATAACACAAAGAATAATTAAAGAACACGAACCTGCGTCTGTTAATAACTAGCGAAATAACTTCACAAAAATAAATGAACATAGTAAAATATCATGGTTGTAGCATGGCAGTATATCACATGCAATGCATGATAAACTTCTCCGTGACATATTTATTTCAGTTGATAAAGCTTTGTTGTAACTATTAGAATTGATTTTTTTTATTGTGAATACTGAATAGGTAAGATACCGCACTAGAGGTTCTTTTGATTCTTCTGTTTATTTGTTAAAGAACTATTGTTATACGTTTTGAAGAATAAGGCTAACGATATGAAATTGCGTATATAGCCATCTTTGTCGTTTAATCATCGCCAGGAAAACGACGTAACAAAAATTGTTTGCATATTTTACATTATATTCGTTTTTAGGTACGTACTTCTAATTACTCTCATGCATTGAACTGTATTAAAAATGTTCTCCTCACTTTTTTCCAATAATTTATACATAATTCGTTGATTTTTAATATTTTTTTTTATATCGTTTATCGCGCTCAATTTTTGCGTTTATAAAATTACTGCGCAGAACTGTCAAAATGTTCTAACATCATGCACTGCGATATTCTTTTGTAGTCATTGGTCGAGGCGCTAGCAATGCGACAAAATTAAGGTTGGATACTTGCAATATGATGAAAAAAAAACATTAAACAAATTAAAGCCAAAACGCTACGAAATCAACTCTATGAGTTACAGTGAAATACGCCCCGCCCTGATTTCGACAAAGCAGCTAAGGTACGGTCTTTTTGTGTCATGCGAAAAGCATTAAGACAAAACCCAGAGATGAGCATAAATGCAGTAAAATAAATGTGACGCGGAATGGTCCTAAGATAATAATTAAATCTCATATACATTATATTTACCCAGACATTCCAAAAAGTAGTAGATATCTATCTTGTGGGGTCATGAAAACGACGGCTCGTTTTTTTAGTATCCTGTCGATCAAGTCAGCCACTGACATGTCTTTATACAATGCTTTTTCAATACTCGAGCCGAATTCTCTGAAAATTTTAATTACAACATTATTTTATGTACACCATAACACGATTTTATAAGAAGAAATGCTTTAAGACTTTTTAGAACGTAGAAATCACAGTCCATTCTATTATGGAGAGAAATGAAATTATTATTATATAATTATTAATACAAAGATCGAACACTCAGAAAAAACACTCAGAAAAAATTACTTCGATCCGGTCGGATACGAACCGACGTCTTCTTGCATACCGTGCCAGACGCTATACCAATTAAGCCACGGAACGAACCAACGGACCTCACGAATTTTTCTATGTGCTTGCGTCGTGTCTTTGTACTTGGTCTTTCAACGACTTTTTTAGTCGTAGCGCCATCTATGAGAAATCTATTGCAGATTTATCACCCAGTTAGTACCTTTACAGCTACCAGTCCTGGCGAGAGATGTCGCTATTCATTGTATTTATTGAATTGATATTCAATTATTTTTTGTGAAATTACTCCACT